CCTGTTGTACATTTGGTGACTGCCTCTTCCAGGTTCTGGCAGCCGCAAGGTTCTGTCATGTGGAGGGAACCAGAGTGCATTCCCGGAGCTTCCCAAGGGGAGCAGACTTCAGAGTCCCTCCAACCCAAGTGCTAAACTTCCCCGACAGCGCCTGTAAAATGTCCTTCTGGTTCCTTTGTCTTTTCTGGGAGATTTTTCAAGTCGGTCATCCAGCCTTCCTTTGGAAGTTTTCTGTGTCATTTTTTAAGTTGTCCACGGTTTCTTGCCATCCCTTGGATGTGCCTTCTTGGGATTCCGTCCTTGGAGGCAGATGTGGTGCCACCCTCTTCTCAGGAGGACGAGGCACTCTGCCTTTTCTGCGGCTCCCGGAGCGCCTGTTCCTCCGAGCGCCCCCTTGAACTCATCTGCCTCGGTTTCTGTCTGAGATGTCCCCCAAGCATCTCTTCCTGTGAATGGGCAAGGTGCTCCCTGCTGCCAGGTGCATGTGGATGTCGGGACAGGTCTTGCCTGGGGGCTTCATGAGAAGCCCCAAATGCCAGGACTGAGGCCTTTTCTCCTGGGCCATGGTCTGTGGGCCGCTGGGCTCAGCTCTGGGAAGCCCTTGGGGGTGGAGAGTTGCGGGTCCTCGTGCAGAATCTCAGGTCGTGAATCTATTTTCAGTGTGGAATGCCGCTCCCTGCCACTCCTTACTGGATGCCCTGCTCCAGGCTAGTGTTCCCCCTCTCCAGAAAGCAATCCTGTCCTGCTAGGGTCGAGGGGGCTGGGGTGGGCAGAGGCAGGGACAACTCTGGAGGTGGGTGATCTCTTGCATTCGTTTCACATCTTCTCTGGAAGCTTTCGCGTGTACTTTCTTCTCTCTTTGATTACTTCTTTGTGTCTAAGATGAAGCTGATTGTATTCATGTCGCCGGGAAAAGCAAGCTATTTTTATTTTCCAGCAGCTTTGGTAGGGCAGGTGGTGGGATTCTTTCTCCAAGGATGGGACTGGAATAAGTTAGTGATATAGCCAGGCACTTGGTCCCGACACTGGTGGAGCAGCGGCTGAAACCTGCTTTCTGAGCAGGGACCTGCTGTCTGGTGCTAAACGGGGCAGTCTCATCTCCAGCCAAGTCACTGCTGGCTTGGCCCAACCTCCAGAGGCCTGTGGCTTCAGGATGGACCCCCAGACCCACAGTCCCAGGTTCTTGCGAGCTTTTAGGCAAGAACTCTTTGTCTCTCTCTCTCTCTCTCTCTCTTTCTGTTTTTCGAGAGGCGTGTCACGCTGTTACCTAGGCTGGAGTACAGGCACAGTCACGGCTCACTATAGCCTCTACCTCCTGGGTTTAGGTGATCCTCCCGCCTCAGCCTCCTCAGTAGATGGAACTACAGGTGTGTGCCACCACACCTGGCTAATTATAAAGTTTTTTGTAGAGACGAGGTCTCACTATGTTGTTTAGGATGGTCTTGAATTCCGGGGCTCAAGCAATCCTCTCACCTCGACCTCCTGCAGTGTTGAGATTACAGGTGTGTGAGCCACCGCTCAGCCAAGAGTTATTTCTAGAAACAGTTGACTTGAGAAATAATTCATACGCCATACAGTGAACCCTCTTGCATCACTCACTTCAGTGATTTGTAGTATATTCAGAGTTGTGCATTCGTTGGCGCAGTCCATGTTAGCACATTTTTATCACTCTAAAAGAAGCCTCACACCCGTTAGCACCCCCTAGTCACTCTCCGCCCCCCTAGCCCACAGCCCTTCACCCCAGCCCTGGAAAACCACTGGTCTCCTGTGTCTCTAAAAGGTGGGCAAGAAGGTTTGGGGAGAGATTTCCTTCAAGGGTGGGTGTTTGCTTGGACAGAACCCTCCGAGCTGCTACATGGAGATTTCTACCATGTGGACACACTTGGCCTTAGCAGGGATTTCCCGCAGCGAAGACAGGCAGTGTGTGTGCATGAGTCTAAGATGGAACGCGCAGTGCCTTCAAGAAAGTAGTTTAATTGCAAAATGTGCTCATTAAAACTCCAGCTAGGGCCTCACACCTGAATGAAAATATTTGACAGGGAGAGATGTGATTGGCAAGCCCTGTGAGCACCCTGGGGAGACATCTGTTAAAACTAAGTGGCATGCTTCGTGGTCTTTTCTCCTCCTCGTCCTCATCATTAGGAGGTTGCCTGCCTCAGGGTCAGTTTTGGAACAGTGAATCCGGAGATGTTTTAAAATAGCTGCTACAGCAAATAATATGACAGTGCTTATCTTTGTTAGATTTTGCTACTAATGACATACCCCAATCCCTGCCTGTCTTATGAAACATTGTTTTGTTTTACTAAAAACTCAATTTATATGCATATATTATCCAAATCTTGTGTTTCTGAACTGGAAATCACCTTAGAGATTGTCTTTTATTCAAACCATTCTGCTTCATTAGTGAAAAAAATGGATACCAGATTAGGTCAGGTGGTTCTAACGCGCTTTTCTTCTTTGGTTCCCTGGTGGTATTCACCCGTGTGGGGCAGCCGCTGCCTGGCAGCTCTCATTCCTGCAGTGGCTTGCGCTTCAGAGGTGAGAAGTCATTCAGAAGTGGAAGGCGGGGTGGCCTGGAAAGCCTCTTTCCCCTTTGGAGTTGAGAGTGATGTCAGATGAGCTTTCAGATCCCATCTAGAAGGGACCACATGCCTCTTCTTGTCTTCATGTCTAAACCCCATTCTCGAAGATCCTTGTCCACCTGTGACCCCCATCATGGGCCAGAAGCCTCATTCTCTTTCTAGTTGGTCTTGATGATTCTAGTGTGACGCAGTCTCATTCTGACATAGGAGCTTTCACAACACAGAAAATCAAATGGTTAAACGTAGCTTGTCTTGTTCATTTGTAGCCAGTGAGGGAATTGGGGGAAGAGACAAATGGTGAGGAGCCTTAAGAACTATCTTTAAAGATTTGTCATCGTGATTGTCTTCTGTCCGATGTTGGCAGAACAGGGGTGGGTGGCTGCGTGCGTGTGCATGCCCCGCACACACGGCCCATTCAGTGCTGTCCTTCATAGGTGGAGCTCACCTTAGCCCAGGCCACCTGTCCGGAGCCCTCAGCCGGATCCTGGCCCTAAACCTCTTTCCCTGCTTCTCCAGATCAGGGACACCTGGCCTGTCCTCAGACCCTCGACTGGGGTGGGTGTCAGTTCTGAGACTCCCAGAAGCCGACAGCCTCAGGACGGAAGCCCACAGGTTTCATAGAGCACCTCAGGAAACGGTAACACGCCTTTCTAGCCAGAATACTTACTGATGAAGGAGTTTCCACTGGGCTGTGGAGAACGGAAGAAAGTAGAAGTGACATCAGATGTTTCTTTAAATATGACATAGGAGCAGGATACTTTAAGGCAGCCTTGGGTTGTCCTTTAAGCAGAACAGGATGTGACCCCTCCCTCACATTTCGTGTCTCCCAAAGTGCCTCTTACCCCGGAAACAGTATCACGACCCCTTTGTTCTGACTTTGTGCTGGGAAATGTAAACTTAGTGCTTGCAGGCCAGACAGTGCTCGGCGCTTAGCAGTCTGGCAGCCGAGGTTGCCCTCGCGGGTGTTTAGCCCCTCCACGTGCCGTGTCTCCGAGGAGCTGCCCACCAAGCCAGTTTAGGTAGCTGGTGTTCTCCTTCAGATGTGGGCAGCTTGGCCCCCAGAGTAGATGTGGGAGGATGGAACATGGAGAGCAGGGTCACTTCCTCTGAAGTGGGTCCCTAAAGAGTGTCGCCCCACATGTGACGCAAGAGGACCCTGTCAGCTGACAGAGGCCCTGACCGTTAGCACTCACAATGGCAAATGCATTTTAACCTGTTCTTAAATCCTGTTTTAAAAATCTTATACTGAAAGCGGACAGTTCAAATGAAAGTGATGTCTGATTTTGTCCATGCAAGATTTTTTTTTTAAGCAGGATTTATTGAGAGGACAGAAAAACTCTCACAGTAGGAGGGGACCTGATGGAGTTGCCCTGTCCATGCAAGATTTAAGATCGATTTACTGTTTAAACATTGCTACAGGATTAAAAACAGTCAGGAGTAGAGCCAGCAGCCCTCTTCCTTGAGACCTCATAGGAGTTATACTACACATTATACCTGAATACCTTGATGCTTCTCAAGGGTTGAATCACTGAGTGCCATCTGAGTGTCTTTTGAGGCTCTTAAAAGTGCACTGAGATGCCTGTTTGTATGCTTTCTTTCTCCCCTCCATGTTACTGAGGGCTTTTTCCTAACAATTTCAGGCAGCCAGTATTGCCTGTCTCTGTGGGCAGGTTGCTGCTTTAATTTGTTGTTTGCTTTTAACTAATTTCTGTAGTTAGCAGCTGGTTGGTTGGTCCCTTGTCAGTTTAGAACGTAGAAGGTGTGCTGGATAAATAATAGCCCTGTTTTTAATAGGTAGAAGTTTCTTAGAGACAGATGAGCCTTGCTTACTATTTGCAGCACACTGATGTTGACTCTGACACCTGAGACTGGCCTGCCCACTTCCAGGCTTGGATTTGTTTGCATGTGTTCATCTCCGGTGGAAAAACCAGGGCTTGGGGTTTTTAAGCCCAGAACTGACTGTGAAGCCAGTCCATGAAACTCTGGCCACTAGCACTCCCATCACGGGTAGGACTGCCCCTGCTGTTGGATCTGCCAGGTAGTGTGAGCAAGTCTGTCTGTAAAGTCTCTGTGTCAGTGGCGACCATGCTATTTTGGCCTCCCAGCACATTATCTGTGAGGTAGTGAATCCCATCTGGGTGTTAGAGCAGCTGCCCCAAGAGACAGGAAGTTGCTCTGTCTGGATCCTCTGCGGGAGATGACGTCATCCATCCTGGTCTGGGGATATTTGTATCTCTTCTGTTCACAGGCTCAGTAGAGGGACTACTAATATCAGATAGGCATCAATCTGTGTTCATAAGTGACCTGACAAAAGCATAAGAAATACTGTTTCTGGCACAGACTTGAGAGTTAAGTTACGGTGACTTAGGTGAGGTGCACACGCCTCTCCTGGACGCCCCTGCACTGACACCCCCTCTTCTCCTGCTGCAGGTGTACTTTCCGGTTTCCCAGCACGGCCATCAAGATCCAGTTCACGTCACTCTATCACAAAGAAGAGGCTCCAGCCTCCCCGCTCCGGCCTCTCTACCCTCAGATCTCTCCACTGAAGATCCACATTCCGGAGCCGGATCTCCGGAGCATGGTCAGCCCCGTCCCCTCCCCGACTGGCACCATAAGGTAAGCGCCCCAGCCTGTCCCCGGCCACCAGGAGGGAGGGGAGTGATGCAGACGTGCCTGTTGTATGCAGTCCTAGTGTCCATGGCTGTAAAAAGTGTGAGCATTGTTTCATATAAAGAGTGACCAGCTGAGCCCTCAGCTCAGTGATACCTGTGCCTCTGGTGACAACCTCCATGCACGGCACACAGCTCCAGTCCTGTCATAGGATGGGAAAAAGACATGTGCCTGAGGGGCAAGAGTTCACACTTTTTTTTTTTAGAAAGCAGGATTTATTGAGAGGACAGAAAACCTCCCATGGTGGGAGGGGACCTGAAGGAGTTGCCCCATACATTTTTTAATGCTTCACTGCTTCATCATGGACATTTCCAAATGAAGCTGCTGTCCTCTCTTGACTGGCCCGAAGAAGTAGTGGCCACGTATGGTTTGGTGCCTGTAGTCCTGCCATAGCACTGGCAGTTTTCACATCGCTTCTGTGTCCTCGGCAAAGGCAGAGCATGTGTTAGGGTTGTTGTGAAAATTGTGTTGACCTCACATATGCCCTAAAAGGGTGTCAGGGTCTCGGGGTCTCGGACTCTCAGGGATCTTGGTGAAGCACTCTCTGAATGCCGTGACTCTGGTAGAGCAAGTGTTGGCCGCTCCCAAGTGTCACATGTCTGTCCCTCCCCCAGCGACCAGCACACTCTGATGGGCCACTTGTCATACTTTTTCAAGGTCTGGGGTTAGAATTATAAATTACCTTCTCTGTTGTAGAACCACCAGGGTCAGGTCCCTCTATCCTGTCAGTGTGTTCCTGCACTCTAAGTTTAAGTTCCAAGGTGGCAATCATTTGCATTTGTGTTGCATGGAGTTGGCTGCGTTTTTCCAGAGCCAGTGGGTGGGTGAGTCTCACTCACAGAGAAAGATATTTCGGGAGAGTACTGGGAAATGGTGAGGCCTGTGTGTGACCAGGTATTTGCCTTTGGACGGTTGCCTTAGCCTCTGGGCCTGTGTCCCCTTCTGTGGAGCCAGCACGCTGATTCCATGATCCTTTGTACTGATGATGGTGAATAACAGCTTGAAAACTGGATATGTGCCTGGCCTGTGCGTAGCACTGCATATGCAGTGTCTTATTCAGTGTTTACAAGTTTCATGAGACCATGTTCTGGAATTAGATAGTGGTGTGGGTTACACAGCTTTGTGAGTACAGTCAGAACCACTGAATTGTACATTTTAAATGGTGAATTGTATGCTATGGGAACTATACCTCTTTTCAAATTTTTTATTTATTTTTTGTAGAGACCATCTCACTATATTGTCCAGGCTAATCTCAAACTCTTGGCCTCAAGCGATCCTTCTGTCTTAGCCTTCTAAAGTGCTGACATTGTATCTAGCTTATGTCTCTGTAAAGCTGTTAACATCTTATATGTACTTAAATCTGTATCCAGTATCACCTTAAAGTCACTGTGGAAGGCTGAGCATGGTCACTCACACCTGTCATCCCAGCACTTTTGACTAAAGCAGGAGGATCACTTGAGGCCAGGAGTCTGTGACCAGGTTGGGCTACATAGCTAGACCACATCTCTGTAAAAAAGTTAAAAAATAAAGCCAGATAGAGAGCACCTGTAATCCCAGGAGGCTGAGGAGGCTGAGGCAGGAAGATCGCTTGAGCCGAGGAGTTGGAGGCTACAGTGAGCTATGATGATGCCACTGCACACCAGCCTGGGTGATAGAGTAAGACTCTATGTTGTAGGGAAAAAAAGAATAGCCACTATTGAAAGCCAAGATCAGTTCATGTACTGCTAGGAGCTCAGACCAGGAAGAGGCCTGTCAAGGTGGTAGGGAAGGGCCTGCCAGGTCCAGAGAAAGCTAACCCAGATGGTCATTTAGGGGCTTTTGAGGAAGAGATAGGCCAGCATCTCGGCCTTAGACTGGCATGGGTTAATACTCAGGTTTTGCTGGGCATGGTAGTGCACGTCTGTAATCCCAGTTGCTTCTGGAGGAGGAGATGGGAGGATCTCTTGAGCCCAGGAGTTCAAGGTTGCAGTGAGCTATGATCACCACTGCACTCCAACCTGGGCAATAGAACAAGACCCTGTTTCTTAAAAAAAAATTTTTTTTAAGTCAGGTTTTAATTCAGCCAAATAGAAGCTATTTAAGACAGAAAAAATGTTGGTTTGTACCTGGAGGGCTTAAGAAAATAAAAATATTTCCCAGTAACAGTCCAGATGAAAGGAGTAGCCAGCTGGTAAGATATTCAAGTAAAGCTCTGCGCACTAAGGTCGCTTTTGTGCCGGAAGAGAGGCCGTGGTTTGCAGGGGAGCTGGGACGAGCGCGGCTCTCCTAAACCGGGGACGCTCCCGCCGGCCGCAGCCCTCCCGGGAAGCCGGGCTGGCGTGTACGTGTACGCATGCGTCCTGGGTGGAAGCTGCGCTGGGGGGCCGGAGAGAGGGGCCCGCCCGGCCCGCCCCCTCCGCCCGGCCCGCCCCCTCCGCCCGGCCCGCGCCCTGCGGCGCCGCGTGGGGCCGCGTTCGTGTTGCGAGAGTTCCTCGCGCAGCAAGTGGCGGCCTGGGGACCGGCCCTTCCTCGCGTTCTGGCCTTCCATTGCTAGAACCCAGGATCTCTGTTTACTTCCGCTCATCTTTGCTCGGTGGAATTCAGTGAGGGTTTAGCAACCTCAGAGGCCCTCGAGGTTTTGCTGCCAGGACCTTCTCGGTTGAGTTTCTGCCGCAGGGCGGAGCCCGTGTTTACAAACACGCCCGGCCGCCCCTCCCGTCCGCGGCCGCCCCTCCGCCCGCGCGCGGCCGCTGCCTTCCTAATTTGGTGCGACTTGGCCCGGGCTGTGCCCATTGGCCGTCGGCGGCTG